CGCCAATACCTTACTTCACCGTATTTGAGTATTTTGATTGGATAAGCCGGCAGTCGTTTCACGCGCTTTGATCGATTTGAACAGTGTCGCCAATAACTTAACTTAACTTGACTGTGACCGTGATCGTGACCGTGATAGTCCTGTGACCGAACATTTTGATTGTATAAGCAGTCGTACGTGTGTTTTGTCAATACCCAATCATGCCAGTACCAAGGAGGTTATTTCATTGTCACTCTACAAACTCACTCTCACTGTTTTATCATTTAATTCAGAATGATCAGTGGCTGAGTATGAAAATTCCCCAGGACTCGCCCTTCAGAAAAATCAAGACAGGAAACTCGCTTGTCATTGAATTATCAGGTTTGTACTACCGCAACTAATGACTCTACTCTTGAGAGGGGAGGTGTGGGGGTATATTGTTAGTACAAATAACCAGTGGTTTTCTCCAAAGGGAGCTCACTCTGGCTAACTTAAAATCTTTTTACAGAACTTGAATCAAGCGCGCCATAATCAATGTCTTGCGCTATTTTTTGCTTATATTAACAAAATCTCATATTACAACCATCACTTCTCGTACGAGGCTCTTCCACGAGGTTCCCTCGACACACACTACCACTACATTGATTTTCCTTTCTATATCTTTATCTTAAAATTAGAAGTTCAGTTTTTGAGGGCGTTTCCCCCCTGATTTTGTTTTTACTTTAATCTCTAGATTAATTTTTCTCAAGCTTTAAATCATGCGAGGGAATCATGAAGTAGCATACACTTGTCTTTATTTTTGGAAGACGTGGTTAACGGAAACTTCAAGAACAAAACGGGTTGGTATTTAGAATGCAATAAAAGGTTTAAATATAAGGTGTTTATTGTATGTCTGAAACGTAGATAAAAAAGTAACATTTGGAGAGTAATTTTTTTTCTACGCGAACATCAATAATTCACAATTGAATCTTGTAATCAGGGAGGTAAAAACTGGTGTCTGAGAAGGACGTCAAGTCAGATTTAGGGTTTGATCTTAAGAAATAAGTTTTCATTCGCCTTTAAATTCAAAATGCTTTATTTGATAAAAAATAATAAAATGATACTAAAAATTTAACTAATAATTACAATCTTCTAAAGTGCTAGAGTGGGTATAATCAATTATTAATACCACCAACATTGGCGACGTTTTTTAACACCTTGAACAATTATTCACGTCTCTATCATTGCAAGCTCACCGTTCGTCTCGCTTCAATGCAAAAGCACAGCTACCTTTCAAGATGGCGCAGGGAACTGTAAAGGGCTCTATTGCTACGTGGGATAATCGACCTCGTTACCTTCGTATGCAAATTGCCCGTTTCAGATCACGTGACATCCTTTGAGAATGGTTCTTTTATGACTAACTTGTGATTTACATATGAAAGAATCAACTCCCAAAAGTGGCATCACATGGTCTGAAATGGGACAACAAACAACGAAGGTGAAGAGGTCGATTAAGCTAGCGTTAACTTACTCATTTGGCATCAACACGTTATTCTTGAAGTCTTCAGGTGATCCTATGTTCCCTGATTTCCTATACCTTGCAACGGCCACCAGCCTGTTGTTTGCAATTGCTGTTGCCATTCCTAACTCTCTAGTTCCTTTCCAAACCACTTGGGTGAAGTGTGTTACAACATCATAAGGGGACTTGCCCTTTCCTTGCTTGAAGTCGTAGTCCACTACCTCATTATACCAGTCCTATGGGACCGGCAAAGATGGATTACGAATGGATAAGTAAATGAACTTGTAAACGTTTCTTAAAAGGTGCAATTATCCTGGAAATGGCACGACACATGCTGTGCCCTGACTTAGATCAGCCCAGAGGTTGCTTCAGGTTTTGATCTGTGAGTTAGCCGTGCCCTGACCTAGATCAGCCCAGAGGTTGTTTCAGGAGCTGGTCTATGAGTTAGCCATGCCCTGACTTAGATCCGCCCAGAGGTTGTTTCCGGGTTCAATCTGTGAGTTAGCCGTACCCTGACTTAGATCAGCCCAGAGGTTGTTTCCGGGTTCAATCTGTGAATTAGCCATGCCCTGACTTAGATCACCCCAGAGGTTGTTCCATTTACCTTGACCATTTCGCCGCAATGCACACATTTCTCGTCAGACGGACCATCACATTCCTTACGCGCCGGAGAAAACCAGGCCAAATTCTCGCCCTGGTCAAGTTTCCTCAGTCCTGGATAATGATAGAACTTATTGCGACGTGCTAAATAATTCGCCCATTCTTGCGCATCTTTGGTGAGTTCTGCTGACCATGCGAGAGGAGGCGAACCGTGAAGGGCTCGATATTTGTTATGAGCTTCAAGACATTCTTTTTGAAATCCTGTTATTTGTACACCTGAAATGGAAACAAAACCCTATCATGTACATTGCTCTTTTTTTGCCACGAGACAAAGAAACCGCAACCAAATCTCGAATAGCCAACTAGTCGAGACCAAATCTTTTGTTCAAGTCATGCAACATGGCGGCTATGGCGTCACATGCACAAGGACAAAAGACATGGCTTTTTGTTCAAGTCATCCAACATGGCGGCTATTAAGTCACATGCACGAGGACAAAAGACATGGCAGCCATGATGATTAACGCCGAATATACCACAGAATTACATCAGTTCGAGGTTGCGAGGCAATTAGCAGCAATCCAAATATCTGAACATGAAGGTTTTTGTTACCTTGAGGCTTGTTGGTAGGCTTAGGCCCAGGCTTGACACCAGGCTGCTCGGTTATTTTTGGAAGTGTCTGTGGTACTGGAGGCTGGGTTGGAAACTTTTTTGTTGGGGATGGAATCTTTTTACCTATCGACACAACATCGATTATTTCTCTCAGATTTTGGTTACTTTTTATTCCCTTTTTCAAAACATTCCTGAAATCCGTGAAACAACCCCTCTGGTCCAGTCAATCAATTTTATACATAGATATTAACTTGTAATAATTTTTTTTAAACAGCTTTATTGGGAAACTAATATTACGATGTGTTGAATAGAAAAAAACTAATAGTTACCCAGAAAGGAAAGTCACGAACGGGACACGAGACCCATGCGAGGTGACCACCTCATGAAATGTCGAAAAAATTAAACGTAAAAATATATGCAAAAAATATAACATTGTACGTAAAAATAAAAAAAAAGTATGCAAAAATAAGTTCTTTAAGATAAAACTAGTGTACTTTATGAGGTTAACCTCTATGACAGGGACATTCTCAAAAAGCAGACCAGGTACAAGAAATAATATTTATTGTGCAGATTCATGCAAATTTCACATCATCAAGCTTACGAAATAATAGAAATATAAGCAAACTGATCATAAGCATTACACTAAACTTATAACATAACCTACACGGGTAAATACCCCATCCTATATCAAAAACTTGTTTAATGAAATGGTCGTTACTGAGTGTCTGTATGATTTGACTTTTAGCTTTGTAGATATTTAAGAACGAAAAACATCCATTATTATATTTCCAGAGGAGGTGGGTACCAGGTATCCCCACCCCTCACCTCTAGAGGGTTGACAGTTGTTTTTTTTCGTGTCTCCAAGGTTGCGTATAGTTTATTTACAGCTTACAAAATCCACAGGTCTTGGGACATTCCTTGACCGCAGGGTCGTCTTTGTGTTGTTGGCAGTATTCAGGCAAGTAATGACCAGCGTTATTGAGAATCCATTTGCAGTCATCCCTCTTGTCTTCACATACTATCGATTCATTGAAACAAATCAACAAGCATACGTTATATTAAGCTATATTAATTACCTAACAATGTTTAAAACATTTTTACGATGGTATTACTGTATACGACCTATTTCGAAAACGTCGGTCGGAGATTCACCAATGCGACCCGGGTTCGAGTCCCGCTGAGCTCGGTGTCGTATGTGAGTAGGGTTGTTTGTTGGTTTTTTCCTGTGCTTCGAGGGTTTTCCGGGTTCTCCGGCTTTCCTCCCTCCGCAAAAGTCAACTCCTAAATTCCAATTGGAATTACAGTTGATGAATAGCTACTCTGTAGAAATGCCACTGCTAAATCCCATTTATTTATTCATTCATTCATCCATCCATCCATCCCTCCCTCCCTCCCTCCCTCCATGCATTCATTCATTCATTCATTCATTTATTCATTTATCTGAAATCTAAGACCGAGTTACACGCTGCAATATGTAATATATTCACAGCCGAACAATGTAGTTTCCTTTTAGATTGGAATTTAACACATGACCTTTGAGTTAGGAATGTATTTTTTTCTTATTTTAATCGGAAAACCTAAAAGCACAAAATTCCGTTTAGCCTAAGTTCGGCTCCGATCCCATTTCAGACCTCCGACCGGCAATGTTTTTTGAAATAGGTGTATGTCTCTTACGTGCGGATAGCTCGAGGTTAGTCTCCGATCTTTTTGGTACCTTAGTAAAAATACGCAGGTGATTATAGAAAATCACTATATTAGAGAGACACATTTTCCCTTACCTGTTGGTGATGGAGGTTTACCTGAGAGTAAATAAAACCTATTAAGTCCAATTGCATAGTTCTATTTCTATAAATATCTTAAAGGGCAAATCACTTTATAAATTTTAAGGCGCGTCCATTACACTTACACCATCCGCATGTCTTCTTGCATTGACGAATAGCAGGATTTTTCTTCCATTTTTCACAATATTCGGTCAGTTTGTCACCTTTTAGTGGGATGCTGTCACAATCTTGACGAAGGTCTTTACATGCTGAATCATTCTCGGGGTCTGTAATTAGGTAGACAAAAGAAAACGCTGTCAGATTCAGCTCTTGATTTTCGGATGTATTTAGCAGCCATTTTGGAGGAATTGTTTTTTTTTGTTTTTTGTTTGTAACTGCCCCAACAATTTCTTGAGGTTCTTAAATCGACCATCATTGTTATCCAACATCAAAACAACCTCTGTTCTCATCTAAGTCAGGACAGGACTAACTCACAGTATATAAAACCCAGATTCAACCTCTAATAAGCTGATCTCAAGTCAGGGCACGACTAACTTGCAGATCGAACCCTGAAGCAACCTCTGGGCTGTTCTAAGTCAGGGTACGGCTAACTTGCATATCAAATTGGAGATTAACTTTATAGGTTTTGCAGAGGGTAGAAACTCCCAACTCTTAGCAGGAGCTCAAAACTTAGTATTACAATCTTATAATATTAACATACCTATGCATATCTTGCCGCATCCATCAGAGCAGCATTTCTTTGGGAGAGAGCAATCTTCATCGATTTTACAGGCATCGTCCTCTCCTCGTGGTGGACACTCATTTGGTACTGGGAACACAGGGCATTGACCTTCTCGTTCTGAAAATTAAATATGATTAAAAATATAACTATAACAAAATATACCTATAACTTTTACTCCGACTAAGGACTAGCGTCCGAAACGTCAGTAMGTTTTTTCATCTTTTCACGGTGTATAATTTACCTTTTTATCATTGCTGTTTCATTAGAAACACCGACGCAGCTCACACTAGTTTCCTAAAATGTTGCCATTTCAGCGCATTTCTCTTGAGTATTGTTTCTTTATTTACTAGCGACAAACTTGGTGGTCTAAACTTGGAAATCATAACACTCTACCCGGTTGGCCCATATGTGATAGAGGCCATCGATACTAGTTCTAGCCCCAGTATGACTTAATACTCTTGGAATGTTGAAAAATATTTGAGTAGAGGATGGTGTCTTTTCGCTAAAAAAATTCCGCAAATGAGCACATAAAATAGCGGTATTTAGCTTGTCTCATTCAGTAAAGATGTTAAACTGATAGACGACCAAAAGACTAGTGTATCACTGTGTCACTTCTCGAAACAAGTTAAAGAAACTAAAAGCTAAAAACTGGACTTGTTTGTGCAGACTGTTCATGATGTGGTGATTGTGTGACGCTTTCATGACCGTTGTCGGAAACAGCCATTGATGCAAAACCCATATTTATAAAAACTAGAACTACGCTTTCTTCTCTTGCAAACGCGAAAGTTATTTTTAACAAAACAGTGCATTATGTAGAAATAGAACTTTTACTAGCGATCGTACAATGGAAAATCGACGTATTTCTAGGTATTCTTTTTAAAAATTTTTAAATTTAATTAAATTCGTATACATCTCGTACCAACATAATATTCAAATACAAACACGAATTTCCATAAGAATAGACGCTGTGCACTGTATTTGAATGACAAAAAGAAGTTGTTCAAGCATTGTACTGTTTTTGATTCTTTTAGATTGAGAGGCTTTTGTTCGAGGTAAAGTATTTTAGGATTGTTTGACGGTTGGTCGCCAAATCACTCTGCATGTTTTGATTGATTTTTGTGGTTTAACAAACCACTTAAACAGAGGCACGATTTTGGCTGTTAGACCTAAGTATTTGGAGTATTGCTTTTTTTTGTTTTTTGTTTTTGTCTTTTTGCCATGAACGCAAAGAAATATTTAAAAATTAACTAAAATAATTTTTAAAAAAATAAAAAAATAAAAATAAAAAAAGAAAGAAAAAAAACCACACAAACTATATTATAAAATAATATGTTGGGATTGTTAGACGGTTGGTCGTCCAATGAATCTGTTTTGATTGCTTTTTAAGGTCTTAATGCACTACAATAACACCTAACATATTTTGTTAAAATTGTTCGGTTATAAAAACGCTAAGAACTTAACAAAAAATTGTTTAAACTTTTTCGACCAAAGTCATTAGAATAAGTGCAGTTACTTAGATTTAAAATTTATTGGTGTAATTTCCTCTATGGGTCGATCGATCATCTTTTGACTTTGAAGATAAAAACGATTACTTTTTTAAGCTATTATAATCCCAAAGCATGTTTAATTGTTATTGATCAGTTGGAGTCTTCCAAGCAACGATGCAATTTTCACCTACCTGACCGTTTGCTTTCCTCGATTCCTGCAAACAAACAAGTGGACAATTTCAACAAAAAGTACAAAGTCAGTAAAAGCTCTGCATTTGGAACGAACGAGAATTTTAGAACGACTTGTTTTCTTTAAAGTCAATAAAACGGCTTTTGGACATTGACAAAGGAAGGATTACTTAGATGTCAAAAGTAAAATTTAACATAAACAGTTTTTAAAAAATTATAGTTAAAAACAAGTTTTTTGTTCACTGCACATGTTTTAGCATCCTATAAAAGTTGTCTAGTTGATACAAAAACTGTACAAAAAACGTCCAGGAAAAAATTGTACTGCAATTCAGATCAAAAGGGTATACTTTATTTTGTACACATACGATCAATGATAATTAAGTAAAAAAAGTTGTTCAGAATCTTGTTCACCGCGCAATTTTGACATGCCGAAAAGTTTTTGAAGTTACAAGAATTCGGCAAAAAGGAAGGACTTTGGAGATTAACTTTATCGTTTCAGAAAAGGTTTCATTCCACGATGAGAAACACAATTAATGCTGGTGCAAAACTTACCCAAAAAGTCAAAAGGATCGAAACTTTTCAGTGGACTGGAAAATGAATGTTTGAAATTTTGTTGGAAGATCAGAAGTATTCCAAAAACAAATAGCTTGCAAAACATCTTGTAAAAATCGCACGTTCACTGTGACAGAAGCAAAATTTTGGACCCAAGTTACGAGTGTTATTGATCGTTGATTTTTGAAAATTTGAAAACTGGCGCGATGTTTTGTAATGGCGTGGGTTTATTCTTATGCAAATTGTTTTCTTGTGTTGTCTTTGTTATTATGTTGAGAGGGTGGGTATCATAAATATTTATATATACATGTTTATTAAGTTCAGTTGTGGCAGTTTGTTGAAGAGAGGGACGTTTATTTTCGGGATATAAGGAGGGCTGCTGAAAATAAAACGGAATAGTCGAAAAGTCTTCGTTACAGTATCCTCTATTGCCATGGTTACACTGGGTAGTGCCTTTAGAGGCTTTGTACCATCACTTGATGACAGCCATGACAGGAGGCACAACAATAGAGTCTTCTTCCCCTGGGAAACTGAATTCTTTCTTGTGTAAATCGAATGAACCAGATTCAGTTGTTACTGTCATGGCTGCCATCGCGTGATGGTGCAAAGCCTCTTTTGATAAGGAGAAATAAAAAGGTAGAGAGACGAAGTGAACGTATAACACCATCAGTTGTAAAAATTTGTCTACTTTCTACGAGAGCGAGGGAAGTTTCTCTGATGTAATGAGGACAAGATTTGCAACCAATTGTCCAAAGTGACAGGCCTTGGTTAACTTGCTTTCAACCCTCCTCACAGAAATGAAATTCTGGATAAAGGTTTGGAGTTTAATTTGTAATCCAGGTCTTCAGATTATAATCAGGCAATTGCTGGTTTTCAACACGGCGGCCATGTTGGATGATAAAACAAAAGAATTCTTTTGTTAAATTCATCCAACATGGCGACTATGACGTCATGTGCAAACGAAGAATTGTTGAACTTTATTGTATAAAGTCAAATGAAAAGCGCTTATAAATAAAACAGTTTAAAATAATTATAATAAAAAATAGCTAAAAAAATAAGCAAACGAGCAATACAGATGGTAAATAAAACGTATGAAAATGAAGTATAAGAAGATGGAGGACCAGAAGTTCAGAATAAAAAACAAAATAAAAAAGACTCGATGATTTGACTGTAGGAACCATTGTTGCTTTTATGCTTTTTCTATTTACAACTACAACCGAAAGGAACAATTGCTTATGGTTTCTCTTTACTTCGCGTGGACAGGCTTCAAGGTTCGAACGCCCTTCTTCACGCTTGGCATCCTTGTTGTCGCCAAAGGCATCTTTTATATCGCTATCACCGAAAATAGAATTTCATAGCCTATAACATCAAAGGGACATTATCACTCGCAATAGGTAAATATCTTTATTCTGGTCTATGGTAGGTGTAAATTTAGCCGATCGCGAGAACTTCCAAAGTATATTAACAAACTTTTAAAGTGCTACTACGACGAAAATCGCTCAAACTTGGATTCAGCTGAAACTTCCTAAGAATACTCTTTAAAGGTCCAATAATCACTGTATGAAGTGTTTTCTCGATATTCAGGACAAAAGTATGATATTTTTACGATTATTTTTTGGAGTCT